AACACCCTTTCGAAACCCGTCCACCAATCACACTGGCAACAACGGCCCGCCTCCAGCAATCGTGTCCACTTCCTTCAATTGTTCCTTCAACTTGTTCCCAATTGGTGTACAAGTGTTGTTTAACGAGTTTCATCTGGTATCAATGTTGCATTTTAATCTTTCTGAAAACACTTTATAAATTGAATAAAATGAATTTTCTTATTTATCGCACACCACATCTGTTGGATAGGAGGTTTCTGTTGTTTCATCAGAATCGTCATATGGTTCAGGGCTGAAATTTTTCGGATAATCAGGCTGTGCTCTTCATGATCATTTATTTTTGAAAAATCAAGTGCATCGATTTTTTATACACAAAGATCACTTAGGTATTGATTGTGGTATTCTATGATACCTATGATCGGTGGAAGGATATTGCTTACAATGGTTCATGGTATTCTTCAATATCATCTAAACGAATCGTATCCAGCCAGCGAGCAACATGTGAAAGCTCTGGAATACATATCTGTTACGAATACCGGCGAAACGAGTGGTTTCTGGTGCTGACGTAGTTGGGTGGGGATGTGCCGCAATGTCTTTGGCGTTTCTCCTAACCAAGGCTTGGGCGTATGGTTGAAGCTCATGCGACCGGTGTCGTCGCAGGCCATTCAACTTCTGGCCTTTTCTGCGCCCTCTTGTCTGTATGGCACGCTCAGGATTCGCAGCGAGGGGGTCTTATGTGGTCGCTGGAGGGAGCGGCCTATTTGCCTCTGTGGAAAAATGTTTTGGTACCTGATTTTTAGTTCCCCTCCTCCCTCGAGTGCCGTTTTTTGTGGAGAAATCTGGGAAAATGGTCTGCAGTTAGGGCGAATTGAAGGGATGGTAGGTTGGATGGGTGATCAGGAAGGGGGGAGGTCGTAGCAGAGGAAGAAATTCTGAATGGGGTCTAATTTTGCAAAATTTCTTCCCAGCGGCGTATCTCACAAATTCCAAATTTTCACATAAGACAGGTGATTCACTCCCTCCTTCGGTCCCGTTCATCTGAAAAAAAGCCCATTCGAAGTCCTTGGCAGTTGTTGTGCTCTATCTGTCTTTCCATCTCTGTGCTACTCCAGTCTACGCTCTCTCATTAAACCATGATCAAAGGAGGGAATGCAGAGGCGCTGATGCAGTTAGCACTTGGTTTCCAATTTTTTAGGCAGTGTTCGTACGTCGGGACCTATGGTTGAGTGGTTCGTTCATTTGGAATCGTGACAGACCGCGCTCGAGCGCTAATTGTTGGACTGACTACAGTTTGGAGGAACGGTAAATTTTGAAATGATATAACGGTTAGCGCGTTTAACGATTAGCGTGAAGCGCTGCCGGTCGTAGTCGAGGAATCGAACGACCACTCCACTCGCAAAGTATGAACACGACCTTGATGGTCGAACCTTCCTTCGGCTTACGATGTGTGTTTTGTTAACAGCATTTTGGGGAAGAGAACACCAAAGCGGTAGTCTCACATGAATAAAAGCTGTATATATGTATACGGTTGGTATAGCCGTCAACTAGGGTGGTTAGAAGGAATGAAAGGAGCGTCACTCTTCTACCAGTAATGATCGGTTACTGATAGATTTGGGAAGAAACAGATGGTGAGTACGCCGGGATGGGCTGATGTCATTGCTCCTGACACCACCCCGACTGATTGCGACGATATACTTTGCGTAGGGCCAAATAATAAGGGAAAGTCATGTGTTGCTCGAGAACAGCTGCTTAGCACCGGCACAAAAACTTACATTTTTTTATTGCTAGTTTTAGCTTAGTTGAAGCTTGTAGCGCTGACGTGACGTCAAACTGACCTGGTTCAGGTGGTTGCGTGTTTGCTGGTTTGTTGAATGGATTCGATGCTAGCTTTCCGTATATTCGTCGTTTTGGCGGTTCAAAAAGTATTGGATATAGTTCAGGGCCTTTCACCTCTGAACATATAGGTGGACCAAGTGTCCAGCAGCTGTCACCACGTGCCTGAATTGTGGTGGCTTCTGTAGATGACGAACTTGCTGAGGTGTCCACTTGTTGATTATGTTGAACTGTGGTTTCTGTCGTTGGAACTGTACACATTTTCATGACTCTTGCAAAATATTCACTGAAAATTATACTCATTTACTGAAGTTTTGAGAAGTTTACTGAAGTTTTTTTTGAACTTCTGCGAAGTGAGGTTTAGTAGATATGTCTTTATTTGGCATCGCACTTAGACTTTTTCGCTTTTAATTAGAAGCTTGGAGAGGCCTCGAAGCTTTTAATCTGTGAATTATCCGACCAAACACCTTCTCTCCACGCTTTAGAAAGCTCGCTGCCGAACAACCCGGGAATCAGACGTTCCAGTCTATCCCCGATTCCACCGTAAGCCACGTACTGTGTTGGTGTACTTAGAAGGAGCTAATTAGGATCAAAGGGAGGGGGAGGGAAGGAACCGGGTATGGCGCGGCACCAGCCGGTTCTCTACCTGTTGAGGCGGACAAGCGACAACAACTGGTGGAAAGAGGGCTTATGCCGTGCAAAACGCAGCCCGCCTGACACGCCCCAGCGTCAGCCGAGAAAACGTTCATATGAACCCATGTGATTGACCAAATTGCCGTATTCACTGCCTTTAATAAACCCGTAACAAGCCATACTTACGCGGCTGCCCTAGCGAAGAGTATTGTATCACTGAGCTCGAGATCACGTAGTTGCTCGTACTGCTCGTCTTCTTCAACGTCTATCTGAAATTGGCCTAGATCGCTTCACCCTGCTTTATCCTTGAGAAACCAAGAAGGATTACTGTGCTTCTGTCGTTAACTTGTCGAAATACTGTGATGATATCTTCGAGGCACATTATGCGATCCAAGCGCATGGTGCTAGTGTCACCTTAACAATTTAATAGATCGCTTACTGCTAATCTGCGGTAAGTTGAAGCGAAGTAGTCGTGTCAGGAGTGCGTGGAAAAGTAATGAGACCCTCAGCAAGAGGAGTGGAGTTGATATCTTGTACAGAAACACTCAAAAATAGGAAGCTTCGATAGGACTTGGAAAACGTCCAGCAGACGGTCAACGACAGGCAAAGACCAGAGCATAAACCTCATAGAAAATTAGTATAATTAGGTCTTGCTCACGTCTACAGTACGCGTCCCTGGTCTGCTTCATCCAGTGCATTGCTATGCCAAGTCGACTCATTTGATGTTCAGGAATCTAAAATCTTGAAGTATAAATTTCCAAAGTAGAAATTGTTCTGAAATACTTCGAACTTCTAAACGTCTCTTAGGAGGGGCAGTGGAAACTACCGTACCATGACAAGACCGTTCCATGTACCTTGGACAAATTTAACTAGTTGAACAGCGGCCATGTTCACTTCCGATGGAAGACTAGGATCCCACGTAATATTACGCACATTTTGCGCATTTCGGGATGTTTCTATAAGTATAATTGTCATCTTGAGTGGAGTTCCAGGAAAAATTTCTGAAGCCACACCATCCTACGCTGGAGGCGGAGCTCTCCACTGTGCCTTTCTGGTTGGTGCGCCCATAATCTTTCGCGAGACGGTGTAACTGAGAAGTACGCCAGCGAGTAAGGCACAAACGGTAGACTCGTCTTCTAGCGGCGGGCAGTATGCCTTCAGAAAAACTAAATATTTTTTTGATTGCAGAGGTTGATGAATGCAGTCTTTGTTCGCGGTAGATCATTAGCTGAGTAACTTCAGATACTCAAGCGTGCTCTCAGCGGCTTAACCAGCCCATTTAGACCTGTATGGAAGAGTCTCAGTGAGGTAATCCATTTTCATAGATTGTCGTACTCATGTCCTTCAGCAATGGCTCTTTCCACCTGTACTTTTCTTTGGAAAAAGTCTCATCAGTATCTACCGTTGGAGAGGAAATTCCTGTTCCTGGCGAACTTGGTAGACACCATAACCATACTGTCGGATACAGGCGGAAACTACACCAGCTTTGCAGAAAGAAAGGGCAAGTACTCCAAGGGCTTCCGACAGCGATCTGACCACGCCTCCTCGGAGCGATAGACACCTAATGCAATGCAGGACGCTGAAAAGGTCTGCTCGGTCTCTGAAATCAGATTACCTCCTGCCTAGTCTCAACTGCAAATGGTGAGTGCTCTATACGCTTGACTTCCAGTAATCCTTGATCTCGTAAAATGCCCCTTCCAAAGAAACTTTCAATGTTTCAAGTAATTTTTGAATACTCAAATCTGAAAATGTACAATATCGAACTTGGCTGGAATCCACGACGAATCAGGCGCATTTCGCCAACGACTTTGGCGTTTTCCATCACCACGGCACATATTTCGTTAGGAATAACACCAGCAGAGTCCTTGCTCAGGACTAGCAATGCCCATCGAAGCATGCGAATAGACGCCTAAAGAAGCAGTTGATAGGAATGGGGAGACAGGAAGTAGCCAAAAGCTGTCGAGCCATGGTGTTTGTTATCTTGATCACTTTTGAAATGAGACCGTTCATAAGGTAGATTGGCAGGGCATAGAGAGAAGTCCGAGTGATCAAAGTAACAAAACGGCTCAATAGAAATGGTACCACTTCGCCTTTCTCCCTCCACAACAGTTTGTCCGTGAGCGTTTGACGAGCGGTAGCTCGATCGACGCCTCGCTCCCTGGCTCGTTCAATCAGTTCTCGCTCAAGTTGTGACATCACACGTTGTTTTGGGCGTGACAGATGATGAGTGAAACCATTGTGCATATGAAGTGGTCCCTTAAATACAGCGTATTATTGAAGTTGCACAAACTAGTGTGCAAATCGATCGTTGTAACCCATATCATGAAAATGCGCTTCATTAGGGGGCGAAGATTTAATGCGGTAACAAGAACGCTATGCTTGGCGGGGAGGGGGGAGTGGGTTGTGGAAAAAAAAAGCCGCTGATTGATCATCTTTGGTAAGAGGACGCTTCTAGACCTAGCTGCAACACACTGCAGACCTAACAGTGACTTGAGAGAACCAGTTAGTAAAACAGTCTTCTATAGTTCATTAGTGTCCAACTTCCGTAAAACTTCGGCATCACTGTAAACCTTGCAGCTCCTGATTTATTGTGCCAGAGAGGTTTTTAGGTGGAATCCTATTATTGAATACTGCGGCACCGCCAACTTTTGGCGCATGCCCCGCCCACTGTGGGTGGGGCTTGCATAGGTCATGTGTGCTCCTTACATTTTGTTCCATGCCCTACCCACCTTGTCCCTTCCTCTCCAAGTTGTTCTTCAGGTGGAACCGAAGACAAACAAACAAACAAACAAATAAGCAACCGAGCAAGCAAAAAACAAACAACCAGACAAACAAACAAACGGACGAAGCAAATTGTATATAGTGGGTGATGGCCTGACGCCATTTGCTGTCAGTTCTAGTTTGTAAGTCAACTTATCGCTGAGGACGACGATCCAGTCCAAGTGTCGGGTTAGAATTTAATTAAGAGTCCTACCTAACAAGCTTTTTGGCACAAAATCTCTTCTGTAGCATGAAACGATCTAACTCATGCAGTTTTGTTCGCTGCGGATGCTGGGGCAAGCTAGGAGGAAGGAGTTAGTGCGGCACCAACCCGTTCTTCCACAATTCCGGAAGAAGACACGCGGCTACATTTGGTGAGAGGTTAGCATGTACGAGCGCCAGGACCGGCTTTTTGTCTCATAGTGCGCATGATCTTTCATGACTGTGTCTGCAGCATCGAGCCTATCAAGCATTATATAAGATGTCCTCGGCAGAATCATTTTTTGGCAGCGCAACGTAACATCAAGCTGGCGCACAAGAGGCTCAGTAAAACACACCACATAGCAAGGTAGTTGAATTTATTGAGACGAAGCGTCCATTTTCTGGTTTTTGCTACTACCGTGCAACGTGTTCCTGTGCTGGAATCCTCGGGGAATTAGTAGAAAAAAACAAGGGGCGTAGGGCGCACACGTGATACAGAGAGACCAAGAAGTCCGGAATAATCTTATCACTGAAGGTTGTTCCGACGCTGAAGACAAGAAAGGGAGAGACGTGGTGGCAATCAATTCACACTGCGTAATGTGGTGCAGGGCTCTTAACGTGGAAAGTTGTGGGTTTAATATTATAGCTGAACGTTTCCACTATATCAAAGTCTTCTGGGGCTCTGGGGCTTACTTTTGATAGGGATGATCGGGGAGTCAGGAGTAAGTGACGTTCTTCTTTTTGTCGGCAAAAAGCATAAAGGATTGAGTTCGCCGTTGATCAATCCTTTTCAGGATGCGGCACGCATTCTACTTCCATTCAGAATCGTAGTGGCTTATTGAATGCGATGTGGCCTATACAATGACTTGCGGGGGCCGATGTACAAGTCAGTGTTTTACCCTACGAAACGAATCTGGTACCAGTTTACCGTTTCCAGTAGATAGCTTGGGCCGGAACGCGGTCCGCAGTTGAACCCCGAACTGCGCGTGTCATAAGCGTGCCACTTGCCACTACACCACCTCAGTCACTATACAGTACAGCCGCTCCTAAATCAAAGTGAAGGTGGAAGTGCAGGATCTTGCATCCTATGCGGTGCCGTATTGGAACATTTTTCGCGAGCAGCGAAAGGGCGCAGTATTAAAGACGGAAGAGGGGGTGGGAGTGATCCAGCGGTGTGTGCTCAAAATTCAGAGGAGGTAAGCAGCGGTGGAACAATCTTGGAAAGTCACTTTCAAAGCTTTGCTCTTGAAGGAGCGTGTAATCTGCGGAAGGGGTTGGCCGATTGCTCTCGAAGTTCACCCGGTCACTTTATCGTGAATTTTTCAATGGATATTGGTTTTACGCACGAATCTTAGAATTTTACTTTTCTCCCCATTCACTGCGTGCGCGTGCGGAGCGGTTCAAAGGTATGGTGCTAACTTTTTATCAAAGAAGTAGGTTAGGTTTATGAAAGCTTCCAAGTCACTACTGCGCAGACCTTTTCTGAGATGGCGCAGAATTTCTGGGATGAGTTGCATACCTGCTCATCCTGTCGACGCTTACTCTCCGTCTTCCAATGTTCTTGCTCAGTATGACTCATTTGTTTCCAGTCATCCGCTGCACGTTCTACGAGTCGCTTGGAGCCGAAATTGCACCCTGCCTCAGCTTCATAGAACGCACGACGCGAATCCGCAAAGTACATGAAGCCATTGGACTTTTTCTTGGTCATCTAAGAGAATCCCAAAGTTATGACCGTAATAAACTTGATTAGAAGGAAAGACGGACATACCCACTTAGCACTGAAAATCGGCGGTCGATAACAAACCGACCGTCAATAGTGGTGAAATGAAAATGAGATATACTACTATGAATAGCCATTGATCGATACAATCAGCCTTTTTTATGTTTATCACATGGATTACCCTCTTACTCTGTTCAAGGGGAGACGGGCTAGAGAATCGTAATTCGCCGCTCCGCCGCGCGCGGCGATGTGCTCATGTTGCGGCGTTTTCTCAACTCGTGTTAACCTGTCGATTGGAGCACCGGACTTCATGTAGACCCCGTCATCGCAGAAGTTCATGATTTTCGGTTCTGAATTGCCTGTTGTCGCCATTACCACCTGGAACCTTTTTTCACATTCAATCTTCACAAAACGAATATAGTCATGCATTTACACACTAGCACACTAAGCCCCGCCCCTCTGACCACGCCCACTTTCGTTTTTCGCGGAATTTTTTCTTCCGAATTTTCACTTTTTTAGGCTGTGGCAAGCGGCCCCGCCCACTAATGGAAGCTCCGCTCCACTTTGTAGAAGCTCCGCCCACTTCCAAAATGATGCAGATCGGCGAGCTAGTGTCCGTACTAGCAGGTTATGGCCTTTCCCGTCACATAGAATGAAAAAAGGGAGAGACCAGAAAAAAAAGAATGAAAGAAAGGGAGAGACCAGAAAAAAAGGAAAGCTTTGTTCCGGGTGTTGTAATCGAAGCGGTCATACTTGGCGATAATGCGCTCAGTCGAGCGACTCAGCAATCGCTCAGATAGCGTGAATCATGCTATTCTGTAACACTTTGACCAGCGGTGGGATACAAGGGGCCGACGATTTTGATGATGAGCGAATAGAAATGATGATTAACGCGCCTTTCAGCCAGGGTACGTCTTGCCGCCTGAGAAACTTTTTGCAAAATTCGAGCTTCCATTCTCCCCCCAGCGTTCAGATACGATCCCCCTAGCTGAGGCTCTCCGATGTACGACGTACCCTGTCCATTATTAATCGCATAACTGCCAATTCATTCACCTCATGAGAACGATTCATCAATGCTGCGTCTTATGGAAGCTGCTCATGATCTATCAAGATTGAGGGGCTTTTTCTTCAGGTTGAGTGACCGCTTTTCTTGTTACCGTCGCCGGCATTTTGGAAGAGCAGAAGCGGAAAGCTGCTTAACGAAAGAAAACTGGTGTTCCGGATATAAGTGAGGATACAGCATCAGGGCGCTGGGTGAGAGTTGGATCGTACTTTGGCTGATAAAAATAATTTCTCTCTTGATTTTTTCTTGTTTCACGGACGTCGAAAAAGGGGGAGCTGCTATTTCCCTTCTGAACTTCTGGGAGAGGTTCCCTGAGTTTTCGTGGTTTTTCCTGTTTCACGTGACTCTCTCCTCCCCTCCCCCACCCGCTCTCCCCCGCTCGACAGAAGAATTTTTGGGTAAAAGTAGGAAATCCTTGGGAACTTCTGGAAAAGTGCTAGGAACTTGGGGAAATCTAAGAAAGGTAGGTAGAATGAGAAATGGAGGGAGGTCGTACCAACCCCCAAAAAAGGTGGAGGGGTGGACGGACTCCACCAAAATCCCCACCCATGATGTGCCCTGACTACCATAGAAGTACTATTTCTGGAAGTTGACATTAGTAGTTGACTGGTAAAGACCTCCTCGCCGCTGACGACAGTTCCCCTAGAAAACCAGGAGGAAAAAACTGAAAAAACAGGGGAGAGGTGAAGAAGCTCACAGCGCAAGTTCCAGATAGTAGCGTTGTTTACCTCATTGGTTTAAGGCTTCGTTCAATAGCAGGATATCCTGTTGAAAGTTCGGTCGGGTCGCAAGGCTTTTCCGATTGACCTAACAGCTTTACACATACTTTGGGGTAAGATAGACTTATACCATCACTAAGGGGTAGGTTTTAGCTCAAAAACGCTGCAATTCCTTGGACTTTTTGTTCCTTTTGACCATTGTATCCATTCCAGCAATGGCATCTTTGGAACGAGTAACCGTTGAGTAAAGATTTTGAGAGCAATAACGTAGTGAATGTGAGTCGTTGGATATAGCTGGACTCAAGGAATTGCGAGGTATATTAGCAGTCCTTTGTTGCATGAGATATGAGCCCTTTTAAGCCAATTTTGAGTTTTTGACAAAACTACCGTATTAATTGAACATGTTTATAGGGCAATTAGAGAAAAGAACAGCAACATTGGCTAATAAAAGTATTTTCTATTGCAGTGGATAGCGGTCCGCCTCTTATCCACGATTTCTCAACTCCTGCGGTTCAAATCGGTCTAATTTGAGATTTCATAATTACAGGATTTCTTGAGCTTCCTCAACCTATCATGATGTTTTCCCTGCAAGAAGAGCTGTAGAGAGCTCCTGTGAAAGTCCGATAGAGCCTAATCTGGAGAGCACGGTCGAAAAAACTAAGAACTCTGCGAAGCGTCTGAAGCTTCACGATGTTTCGAACACTTGCATGCATTGTTGAGAAGCTCGCTGGCCCATGGTCAGCGACCTTAATGACTATGCACTTCCGTAGCAGAGCCAGGA